TTGAACCACAATACCGATAAGTGATTAATAAAAGTCAAAAGATCAAAGAGGTCACCTTAATACCAAAAAAAAAAAAAAAATTTATATTTTAATACAATATTTTAATTACATAAAGGGTTTGTTTTTTAAAAAAAAACTTAGTTTAAACTTTATATAATAAATAAATATTATTTTTATTTTAGTTAAAATATTTAGTTTCTAAAAAATAACTATAATTCAAAATAAATATAAAAACATTTTTAATAAGCAAATAATTATAAAATAAAACTTTAACTAATTAGCAGATTTTCTTTTTTATTTTCTTATAGATTAGTTTTATTTTCTTTTTGTTAACTTTATTTTACTTTTTATTTTTTTTATATCTAGTTTTACAATTTTTTTTTACTTTTCTATAAAAAGCTGTTTTCTAATTGGCAGTTTCTTATTGTAAAACAAAATTAAACAAGTTATAATTTTAGTTTTGCTTGGACTAATACAACAAGTTACAGTTAAGTATCATTAAAGTAACTAATAATAGCAAACTTATATATTAAATAATATTTTATAATTGCATAAGTAATTACAAATAGTTTAATAAAGTACTATTATAACTGCTTAAAAAAAAACATAAAATAAAATAAATAAAATATATAATAATTTTATTTTATTAAATTTTATATAAAAATAAACAAACATTTGTATAACATTAAACATTTTTATTTGTTACTAAAGCTAAAAATCCCAAAATATAAATTTTATATATTTAACATAATAAATTTAATTACAAAATAAATTTTTTTTCTAATTTACCAATAACATAAATTGAAAAATCATGCATAACAAGTACATATTACAAAGATTTAGTAATAATAATATCCTGACTTGTTGAAAATAGTATTAATATTATCATTTTAAAATGACATTATTTATGCTCATTTTCATAAACAAAAATTTTTATGACTGTCATTTGCCATCACTGTTCTGATCAGCGGTAACCAAAGAATATACTGAAGCTTTGAACAAAGTGTAAACCAATCCTACTTTTTTTTCGAGCGTACGAAGCTTGTCGATAAGAACAAGGACGTCGGTAGTGTTCAAGCGAGTAATTGTTTGATTTAACTATTTGTAGGTTAAAAATTTTAACAAAATACAGCTAGTACAATTTACCCTGTTATAACGGACTCCGTTATAGCGGATACCTCGTTATAACGGAGTAATTTTCTGAAACAATTTAAAAATATTATTATTGAAGACTGTATATGGATATAATCTTGCTTACTTTATCAATATTAGAGACGAGTCTTTCATATTCCAAAATAATGTCATTTTCAAGCGAGCTATTCATATAAATTTCGGATGTATGTTGTAGCGCCATGAAAATTCTGGTTTGGCGCGAAAAAAATTTTGATATTAGTACTTATGTACGTGTAAGCACGTAACTTATCCACAAAAATTTCAGGGACGTGATGTACAAACCAATTAGATTTCAAGATCAGGTGTGAACTAAAATTAACACCTGAAAATTGATCTTTCTTGTACACGTTAATAATTTTAGACAGTTTCAACTTCAGCCGTTTGAAGTTATAACTTCAAGCACGACATTATTACTTAATGTCGGCCTATTAGGCGTTTTTTTTGTTTTGATTTTTTTTGTGTTAGACGAGATATTGAAATATGATTGGCCTGCGAAATTAATTAGGGTGGTTTTAACATATTGATCTACGTATTGCAGTAACCTCTAACCAGACACGGCTTTAAACATTAAGTAACTATGGGTATTATGGCGAAGTTAATAGAAATCTAGTGCAACTTATGCTGCATCGATCTAAATTGAATGATTTTTATACCATTTTATTCGTCTCATCGAGACGAATCGAATGGCACCAAAACCATTTAATTTGGGTCTAGGGATTGGAACCGCCTAAAAATTTTCTTAATCGTTTAACCGTTTAATTTCGCTGGCATTAACATTATTCCGGCCCACGACCAACATAATTCTGCCCGGAACTATGGAGCAATTTTTAAACGGTTAAACGATTCCAATCCCTATTTGGGTCACAAGGCTACGAGTTACTGGCAATTGAATATTACTCAAAGTTAAGAAAGGTATTATAGGCGATAAGGGTATCATAACAGATCTATTGTAGTTCATGATCCATCGATCCAAATTGAAAAATTTTAAACCATTCGATTCATTTTATCAATTATCAGGTTATGAGATATTGGTATTCGAATGTCACCTATCAGCTTTTTAAAGAAAAGTTAATCAATAATACTTGAACGCTGATATCTCGTGACCCAACGAAAAAAAATTGAGCGACTAATTGAATGATATAAAAATCATTGGATCAATGGGTCACGAGTTACAATAGATCTGCCACAATACTATATTCATACTTTATATAAAAAAATAAAAGAAAAAAAGTTAAACTAAAATATAAATTATAATACGTACTAAGGTTTAAAGTATATGTATATATATCTAAAATGATAATAGCGATCTGACTAACAATAATATGTAGCAAATTGTTTATAACACAAGTTTCGTAGACTCAAAAATCACAAATTTAAAATTATATAATGTAATAAAAAAATTTTTTTTTTGATGTTAAGATGATTTTTTTAGACTTTTGATTTTTTATTAATGATTTTTTTGGTAATGTGATTCTATGAATCATTATAGGAGAGTGTACAATTGACTATACATGTAACTTTTTTATATTACCTATTTAAGAAATTTGCCTGAAGGTTTTCTATTAATTGTCATATCTAACATTTCTGCTTAGATGTTTTACTTTAAACTCTTTGAACCTGTAATCTGTATTAATATTATTGAGTCATATCTAGATACCTAGATCATCATCTCAATTTTAGGATTATTTTATTCTTAAGGTAAACCTTTTAGAACCTTTTGTACTCATTTTTATAATTGATTTAAATATTACTATAATAAAACTAACACTTACAATTAAAGTTATATCATTTAAATATTATGTTCTTATAGAGTTCACACAGATCCTAACATCTATTTCACAACATAATCTCAGTACTTTAGTATATCTTTGTCTTTTTATCTGTCTTTTTATCAAACTTCTAATTTAGATAACCTATATAAAATTATAACTAATCTATCAGTATATTAGATTGATCTGATATTCTTTTTCTTTAATTCATTTTAGCAATCTGATTGGTAATATTTCTGAGATTCTCAATTCAGAAATTCATATCTGTTCAGTTACTATAATTAGGTATTATAACCTTGATATCTTTTTCCTAAATTTAATTTTTACAATAGAATCATCAAAGTACTGATTACCTTTCTACTTATATCTTCTCAAATAAATTTCTTATTATTCAATTTTAACAAATTTATATAATTACAAGAACTTATCTAATGTTTACATTATCTAATACTGATTTGCATTCTTTTGTATAACTAAGATTACACAGATGCTCTATATCCTGTCAGTTATATTAGTGCAATTATTATTACAGATATTCTAACCCAATCATTAGTAATAATTGTCACAGTTGTCATAATATGAATATTACATAGATGATTATTCAAATTTTCACCATTAATAAAATTTGAACATCCAACCTATCACTTGAAAAGTTGACAGCCTAACCACTTTACTAGGTCACTACACTCTTATAATAAAAAAAATTTTATAAAGAACATATGATAATTAGATATAGAATAAAAGTGATATCATTTATTACCTGATTTTTTTTTATTAAAGAAGTACCTTCTTTTCTTTTTTAATATATACTTGATCAGGTTCTTTATATTAAATTTTAATTTTTTTACCTCTCTTAAAAAATCAGGTAATAAATGACACTACCCTAACTATCAAACAAAAATATAAATAAAAAGTATGCAAGATACAAAAAATCTAATATAAATTGATAAATCTTGTAATGTAAATCTGTGAATGAGAAAAACAGATTCTCTAGTAAGTTAAAGATTCTCTGTGAAATAAGTTTAGTCAAAAACATAAACAGTCTATAAATGTCAACTATAGAGCGTTGACCTGACTAAAGTAGTTAGGAAAATAGACATTAGGAAGTGCTAAGACCGACTGTAATTCACAGTACAGGTTTTACCTTGTCATATTATTTTACAAATTTATAACTTCTTAGTTAAGTAAAAAATCAATTACTAGAGCAGAAAAAAGCTTACCTAACAATAATGTATAATTAAAAATATCAATCAAATGAGTACAATTGACAACTATGTTAATAGATTGTAATTCGATACGTAATAATACGTTATAAAATATTAATGAAATTACTATGACCCAATGTTCACTCTTAAAAAATTCAAAAATATATAGTCTCAAGTTTGTCTTTAACGATACTATATATAATTTGTAACAAATTATAAAATTATCAAAGCAGTTTTCCTTTTAAATAAAATTATAGTGAGTTACAATTTTTATTTCTTTTTTCTTTTAAGAAATAAAAAAATTTCAGTTATATAACAATATATATACTACAAACTATAGTCATTGAAAAATTAAAATATTGTAAACAACGCTTGATATCATACATGAAATGATAACGAATAAATTTAAATGATAATACAATAATACACATTCTTATTCACTCATTATTCCTGTACTCCCAATAACATTACTATCATCCTTATTAAGTTCATTAAGTGTCATTTCATCTCCATTTCTCATCAAAGCATCTTGTTGAGTTGTCAATTCATTAAGAAGCGAATCCATCTTAACTACATCATTTGTTAACCCTTCAAACTGCTCAAGAAAATTCTTTACTTTATCTGTAGATATATCTTTCAAACTATCTAAGTAAGCTTGAGTAAGCGGATCATCTGTCGAGAGATCATTTTTCGATATTGTGATTACCAGAACTTGTAAAATCTTAATGAATAGATTACTATAATTAGCATTTGACCAAACTTATTAAGATTCATCAAAAGATCAAGTTTATCGGTATAATACCTGAATTAACTCTTGGACGATCATGCTAATTGAAGCTAAGTCATTAAATTCAAGCTTTTCTTTGAGCGCCTTAACATTAGCAGCTAGTTGCTGAATATTTTTTGAAACGATTGGTTGCACGAACTCAGGCTTGTTTAATTTGACCTAAAGAACATATGAACATTGAATAAAGCACGATATTAACCAAGTAAATGATTTATAGCAACTTACAATATTAATCAATGATCTAAGTACGTTCAATTTCTCTGAAATATGCTTAGTTAATATACGTGAATTTGAATTTAAAAGACGTTCAATCAATGTCGCAAAATAAACATGTCCATATATATTCGCAACTTGACCATTTGTAGATAATTTTTCATATAGTCCCAATATTATATTAAATATATTTTCGATGTCAATGTCCATCATTTCAAGGATTACTAATGAGCCTATACAAAGTGCGCGAACAAAGAAGTTAATAAAATTAAGAAGCAAGCCTATCCTCGAAACGACTCAAAACTTACAAAGTTGAACCACTCTATCATATGACTCGAATTCAATGCCGGTAACAATAACCTGTTCCACGAACTTTAAATATGGTTTATATAAAACTTCCTGCAGTTGCAATACCTGTTCTCTCTTCAATTTTTGCATAAAAGGTTTGAAAACGTGAATTGAAGGTCCTTGTAACAAATTCATAACATTATAATTATCGAATTCATCATCGATTAATTTGTACTGATGGAAAATCGAGCGATTTCCGCCGAATTTCATGAGTAAATCTGGTGAATTTAGTGATTATTTTCGAAAAGTTAAAAAACAAAAAAACATATATTTACAAAAACATTTGGAAAATATTATAGAATACCTTCGTTAGTGACCGTTCCCCGTTGCCATTTCGAATGATTATCAATAAGCCGTTGTAGGATTGTAAGTGCGATATCCTTAGTTGACTTCATCTTGAGTAATAAGCAAAGGATATCTAACATTTTCGAATATTTATGTTGAGAAACTCGATTATTAAAATAGTATGAAATTTGGTGTAAAAAAATTACCTGCCGCCCTTGTATAAAATTCATGATCAACATTAGGATGCAAAAATGATAGAAGAATAAATACAAATTCTTGACGAGTCTTCCATGATTTCAAGTAACCATAAATTGCTATCGAATGGATGGATAAAGTTTATGATCAAACATATTAAATCAAATAGACAATTGTAAATAAGATAAAATTTCAAACCTTCATCAGTTTGATATGAATAAGCAATATTCAAATAGTTGTGTAGTATTTCCAGGCATTTACGCAGAGCCCCATCTTCTGAATTTTTATCTTTTATAACATTAATAAACTAAAATAATAACAAATAATTATTATAAAGACCGTTGTGAAATTTTAATAATGTAAGCTATATAAATAATCACCTGTGGTAAAGCATCAAATCCATGACTTTTGCAAAATGAATGTACATCTTCTATTGAATCTCGGTTGAGGTATTGATATAGTCTACCGCAACAAATTTTGTGAACAATTCTGACATGCAAATTTATCTAAACAGAACAAAATACGTCATATGCAATACCTTAACATAAAATGTACTTTGCGCGTCAGAGGTGCAGAATTGGCTAAAGAAGTTATTATCGAATCCCAAGCCTTCATCCTAAAGGTTGGAGACGCGTCTGCACTAATTTTTAATAACATTAGCAATTCTTCTGTTTTCTATTAAAATTTAATTAATAAGAAAGCTGTATGTTAGAAGACCAGGTAAATTAAAGTAATAATGGGATAATAATCCTACGTGATCATCATAAAAATCTCCAAAAATCATGCTACTAAGGGCCCAAAAGAAATTCTGTGCTTCCATCCATTTTTGATGATATTCAGATGAAAGACGACATCCCATCAATATTAACCCATAATATTTTGGGAGAGTTGTCTGATTGTAGACAATATTTTCTGTCGTGTGATTAATGCTGAAGGGAATATATATTAACGGTTTGAGAGAATTAAAAGCGAAGAAATGAATATAACAAAATTCAATTTTGTGTACCTAACATAATACATATGAAGATGTGAAATTATGTCTTCATTGGAAATGAATAGCTGAACATTTTCAGGATAATCTTCGCATACGGCATGCCAAAATGTAATTAATTCCTAAACAAAATAATCAAGTCAGAATTTAATAGTCGACTATAAATTACGTGAAATAAAAACATACCTTTTTATCAATATCAGAATCAATTCTAACTTGATCCACAAGAATGAAGATTGTGCCCAATTTTTCCATATAAGGCTGGAACTATATATTTATAATAAAAAAATGTAAATTTATTAATATTTAACAATAAAAAAAAAAGACATGAATAATTGTACAGTCGAACCATTAATTTTTCTTGAGACGATCTCACACACTTTGTCAAGACTCTAAAATAATTGCTAAGTCTCCATCCAAAAGGATCAGCTGAGTTAATAAATGTTAGGATTAAATTTGCTTATGTTTCTACATAATCCAAGCAAATACAAATTGATAGAATCAAATTACCGCCTCGTCGAGGATAAGTTTGCCTCCAGCAATACTCTACATTATCCATAATTTTAAGTAACATCAAATATTGTTTTCTCATGCATAAAGTCGCATCATACAAGGCCTGTTCATCATTAGGCTCATCCAATTTTCGAAAAATTAAAATATTAGCAAGTTCTTCAGCACGCTGCCGGATAGCGTCATATGCATTGAGCAAATGTTCCGGCATCCATTGGTGCGAGTGCGTTATCAGCATATTTTGGACATAATGACCGACTGTAGAAGTACACAAAGCTTCAATTAACCCAAGGCATTCAGAGCTGAATTGTGGTGTCGATTGATTTGTTTTCGCAAGCTTTAAAACAATAGCATGATGAATTAGATTTAAGTGTGAATAATAAACAATTAATAATTCAATAAAATTACCTTGAATACTTCTTGAACTATGTGCTCAATCCTTCGATTTGAAAACTGATCTTGAATCTGAGCCATTGAGTATAATATTTCTAAATGAGGTCGAACATACTCTGCGTTGTAAGAATCAGCAGCGCGAATTAATTGGGTTATAAGTTCATCTGATAAAGCTTGATTATTCGTTGCAAAATGATTAAATATATCCCGAGATGCTTCACTATCAACACCATCGCGGATTTGTTTCATGAAAAACAAGAAATATTCCTCTTGCTCATGTCGCTCAAAGATCAATCCAATTTCACGATCACTCAATTTTAAGGGAGCCGGAATTCTTTGGGTCCTTGATATTAATGAAATGCTATGTTCAGGTTCAATACTGCATTCTAATAATAAGGTACGTAATGTAATCAATAAATATCGGAAAGGCGGTAACGAAAATTTGTCACCCATTCTTCGTTTACGTGACTTTAAAGGTGACAATTCATCCATAAGGAACAGTTGAATCAGCTCTCCAACAAATCCACGTTTAATCATATAAACACGCTCAGGTACACCTGAAGAAGCTATATAAGAAAGTAAGTAGAAGTATTGTTCGAAATTGCGCCACCATAAATATGCATTCGGAAGTAAACTAAATAACGCTTCGCATAGTCTGACAATCATGCCGTTATGATAACACACTTGTGCATGAGTCAAATCAACGTTCATAGTTGAGTCAGAAATTTCAATATCGTCAATGATAACCTCCAAACCATAAGCTTCTAAATTGCCGTTACGAAGTGTTTTTAGAACAAAAATTATTAAATCAACTATTTGCTCCCTAGCATCTTGTACATAACATGACATAAGGATTTGTTGCAAATAATTTGGACTATGTTCGATGATCCTGTTAATAAACCACTGGCATGCAGCTAAATGCGTTTGAAATCGTGTTTTTAGCATTTCAAGCCAAGATGAAAGGTTACTGTTTTCCTTTGCACGTGCAAGTGTCCCAAGAACAAATTCTGTTCCAAGTTGTATCGAACGGAGAGTTAAATCGATTTCTTGACCATTTACTATAATAGTTGGGGTTTCATCAAGCCTGACAGAATTGAATACATGCCACATTAGTCGAAAATATCCTGGATCGAAAATATTTTTATCTTGAAGAAAACAAATATTCTCCTCCCAAATGGAACTAAAAACATCTCTGGGAATGATTGACGGCTTCTCTTTCTCTGTTGATGAAACGAATGTGTCACCTTCCGAATCAGAGACTCTTTCATAAAAAAGCATATAAGCATTATATTGCTTTAAAAACATCTTAGGCAAACTTTTTTGTTGAGCAGTGTCCAATTGCATTATATACTCTGGCCCACCATAACACTGCTTAGGAATATCTTTAGGATCAAATATCTCAACAGTGGAATCGTTGAATTGGTACCAACGACGTTCAGAATCATTTTCATTGCATGAAGGCTTACGCTCTTTGATAAACGAATAGTAATGACCAGAATCAGCAGTTCCAGTGTGAACAAGAACGCCAACAAGTTCATATTCGAATTGTGCCTTATTTCCGGCATCTACTTTTGAGTCATCAAGTTGTCCTGATTCTTTACGTATTAAATAGTCCAAGGTGTAGGGTTCCATGTTTATATGTGTAGGAAATTCAAATGATTCATTAATTTTTACTCTTTTTAATAACTCCATATCAAAATCAAAGCGCTTTAAATGCATAATCAAATTTTTTGGAAGTGTCTTAATACAGGATCTACATTGTAATATTCAAAATAAGAAATTCAGTATAAATATCAAATATGCGTGAACAGATGGTAGCGAATAAAATAAATAAATAAGGGGTTAAGATTCTAATAATTAAAAGTTCATACAACCTTTTAATAGCATCCACAGATTTATTGCATTTTGCGCAAAAATATTGGTTATCTAATGAATCAAAGTACAATTATTAAGGACAATTTAATATTACAATTTTTTTTAAAAAAAAAATTAACATACCTCCATCCAAAAGTTCTCCTTCGACGTAAAGCTCTAAACTTTCTTCAACATTTTTCTTATTTTTCACTTCGCATTGTAACGTAAAAAATGATTCCTCTTTTTCAGATATATGCCCACAGTCTCTTGATTTAATCTGTTGAACCAGTGTTCCACCAAAATGCTCTTTAAGGAGCGTTGCTTGTGGTGTTCCGGAGACACTATTTTCCAGGCGGTCAAAAAGTCCACTGAAATATTCATCAACATCCATCTGAATAGCCACATTCAATGGTTGGCCATCTATATCTTTGTACGCATGACAAAATTGTAGCGCTTCGTACGCTTTTTTTTCACTTTCTTGCAAATGACCAAATACTACCTGAAGTTGATATAAAAGGCTTTCATCTTTATTATCCTCAAGAACTGGAGCAGAGAAAAGACTTTCCCGAAAAGAAGTGTTCATAAAAAATTGTTGAATTATTGAATTAACATAACAAGTAGCTCCAAGATTTGACAAACCAACGTAACCAGCAGAAGCTTTTTGGCATGTTTTCGGACAATAATTCCAATTATCGTTTAATTGTTCCCCGCGATCTAATTGTCTCAAATACAATTCAGTTATGCGGACAAAGTTTTCTGGACAATCTTTGACAAGCTCATTTAATAAATCCAAAGCTGCAGTCCTTGAAGCTTCAAGCTTGCATTTTGGAGGAAGAACTGATCCTGCATGTTCAAGTGTTGGCACTTCGAAAAGACAATCATTGAAGATCAAATCAAGCAAGCTATGTGAATTATCAAACAATGAAATCAATAAAGTACCAAACAAAAATTGGTAAAGAATTTTCGAGATTCAAAAAAAAATCCCATACTCATCATTAGGAAGACGCTTAAATTCGGGATGTTCCGCAACGATTATTGTCATCAATTGTATTAAACCAACAACAACAGTATCTTCATTTGGAGAATTAAATTGCTATTAAAACAATAAATTGTTTTAGAACTTTACGAATTACTGATAAACAAATGTGCTTAAATTTATAACCTCTTTGATTGGATGTAGTCTAATTTGTTGTTTAATATCGTTATACAGAATAGGCAATCGAACGCGAGCAGATTTTGTTATATATGGCATCAAATGTCCCATTAGTTCAAAATATTCTTTACTTGTGTCTACATAATTTTCTACATCTGGTAAAAATGACCATAATAAAGCGAGGAATGTTTCAAGTGAAGGCGGTAATCGAACCAGAGCTCCATCGAAGGTTGCATTGTTAGTAATTTCTTCACAAAATTGAAGAAGACTTTGTTCTAAGAGGTTTCTTGCCTCTTCCGACCGACATCTGACAAGCGCTGACATTAACCATTCACGCAAACCCTGAAATTCAATAAAGCTCGAAAGTGCAGATTCATCACGTAAACATAAGCAAGACAGAAGCTTCATAGAGTGTTGAATAATTATTAAGTCTTCATCAACTGTCAAATCAATTTTAATATGAAGTTTAAAAATTTTTCTTAATTAACAGAATCAGTAATAACAACCGTTACCTTGATATTGAGAAGGATCTACGCACTTCCCAATAATATCAATCAATTTTGCAATCAAAGCGTTGGAATCAAAACGTCTAAATACTTCTGAACTCGTAGGAGAATTGTCTGCATAAACATTTCATTTGCATGTTTATAAATTGTAATGCGATTAAATACCTAAAAATGGCAAACACAGCAAGAATGAAGCTTACCAACTGCAAAAAAGCCAATAACTTTCAATAAAAGTCCAAGACAAGCACGTTTAGTAACACTTTTTTGATGATCGCCCGTAAAGTTTTCAATATCATTAGCAGCATCTTGCATTGTTAACAATGAGAGCAAATAATCTAGACCACCATTTTCAACAAAGAGAATACTCCATTCATCACCGTTTGTAGTTTCATCACCGCCTCTTAACAACCAATCAAGAATCTGAAGAGCATAAAGCAATCTAAAAGGTGAACGATAAATAAGAAGTTCATCCCATTGTACTGGTGCCATCAAAGATTTGAGCGCAGATAACGATCCAGCATGTGTAGGCAATCGCATAAGAAGGTCCCATATCTTAAAAATTTTAGATCAATAAATTTTAGAATACTTTTATGTAAACATAAAATCAATTGCTGGAAGTTTTATTCGATATTCAGACCTGTGCTGAATAAGTCTCTTCTAATTCTAACATAGAGAAAAATTGATCTATATATTTCGAAAGCATATTTATTGGTAGATCAGACTCAGTTATCTAATGTTATTACCATTAAAAAAAAAAAAAAATTTAAACAATGAATTTTAATGCAAACAGTAAATTGATATAAAAGTAACTAAAAAACCTCTTCATCCGAAGATATTTCTGCCCTTTCGTTGTCTTGACCATTTCTAGCATCCGACGCACGCTTAGTAGCCATGAATGCTTGGCGATCTACAACTTTCAACTTTTTTAAAGTCGTAGCATTATCTTCAAGGTGTAATTCTTTTCCAGAGAAGAACAATCGAATACTCCCAGGACGTGGAGCTCCAATTCGTGATGCAACTTTCTGACGCAAAGAAAGTACAGTTTCTGAGAGATGAACTTGTATTTCAAATGTCCGTGTTGCCTGCATTCATATATAACAGTAATTCAATAATTGTAATTTTAGGCAATCAGAATATTGAGTGCAATAATTCATTTATAATGCATAGTTGAGAACTTACACTAGCATTGTTTATGGTGACTTTTACAGTTATCATCTCTCCGTCATTAAGCATGCCATGCCTTCTGATTGGTCTTTGTTCAATCTGCGAATGGCTATATTTTGTATCAAACAGATCCATAAAAGACTTTAACACCTGTAAACATCTCTTAAATTTCAAGGCGTTAGAGGTTTCATTGTTGGTAGATAGAATCTGCGTTCCGTCAGACATGCCAGCTTCTAATATCACGTTCTGTTTATTTCCTTGCTTTAAGTCGTAATTCTCTGCAGGGAAGAGTAAAGAATTTGACAAGCCGTTTGCAGCAGTAAATAGATGCCCAACACATTTGTCAACTAATGCTTCACGATGCTGACGAGATAAAGTGGTGTAATTTTCTAATTTTTTATCCGTCTAATGAATTTTTTTTAATGTAAGAATGCATAGATATATCTTTCAACATAAGATCGAGACAAAAATACTAACATTCAAATGAAGATACACCAAAAAGACAATAGCTTCTTTGCCAACTGCTTCCTCTTCAGCACGAAGAGCAATGTCCCAAATAAGATCTATACCAATAAGGTCACCTTGAACAAGAATGCCTAATTGGCTTTGTGACTGTGATTGTGTAGTTGGTGAAGCCTATTACAATAGTATAAATATTAACAAAATTATTGCGTTACATGAGGGAACTCTTAATAGATAGTATAAACACATTCTACGACTTACTGATCGTAATCTTGAATTTTTAGTATTAACTTTAAGCAAGCAATTCTTCGTATATTTGAACGCTTGATCTGAAAAGTACCTTACATCTAATTTTGGTAATTGATTGTTAAAGAAATGGCTAATAAAATGGTCATATTCTATTATATTATCTAAATATGAGAAGGCCTCATCTTGTTCTTGCTTGCCAATTGGATCAGCAATTAAGCATCTCCAAATGACATCGGTCTGAGCTGTTGAAGTAAAAAACGGAACCGCCTCGTAATTAGCGACCCATTGCAAAAATTGTAATCGAGAGACCAATTGATCTTTCAATGCAGCAGCTCTTGATGGGGACAATACAGTAGACAATGAAGGACCAACGATTGGGGACATATGGTCTTTCAGAACATTGTACAAATTAGGAATTCACTCAATGGAAAAAATATAGACAATACTGCACAGTCAAACATTTCAGTCTTACCAAGTTCCATGCTGATAGAATTTTCTGTTCTTTCTGTGAAGCATTTTACAGCCTTTGTCCAATGCTCCAAATCACTCAAAAATAATTGTGGTAATTCCACATTCGTAATTAAATGGCGTAAATATTCCGCAGTGCTCACACCGTGGGTGGGAAACGGTGGCGCTTTTTTTGTAAAAACATAGAAATAATTCAAAAAGAGTAATATTTGATTAAATCGATAAAATGCTCGTGCTTACATATAATCTTTGTCAATATTCTCAAAGCCCACATTGTACCAGGGTCATGTTGCTTCAGGCACTCAATACACATCATAAGCAATTTGTTTCGATCCTCAATGTTAGTATCACCTTGTAACAAATTAGTCAAAAGGGCACATGCGTTAGAAGCAATTTCTTGATCAATTGCTGTTGCTGCGGGTGGTGACCCGGTAATTGTTGGTGATAATATTTCGGCGTTAAATAAAATAGGTATCGGAATTGACGAATCGCAAAGTATACGCCACAATATACGATGAGCTGCGAAAGATATACACGACACAGCCTAATACAATCATATATGTACTCTTTAATTTATAAAAAAAGTATATATATTGCCCGTTAACATACAAACAATACGTACCACACCCCTTAACCTCACATCATTAGAAGTAGAATGTACTAATGTTCGTATTAATTGATATGTCTGAGATTCTATGAAATTCATTGGCATTTTCATGAATTTCTCAAATAAATAATCTCTCTGGTCTTGATTTAGATGATTTGATATCTCAGTTAGCACCTGACAAACACCATGAATGATACTGCGATGTTGGTTTCCATCAACAGGTGCCCAAATAATATCCAATTCACGCGATGTCAATGATCGAGTATGTATAAGAAACATTAAAATATCAGTACAACGTTGAACGACCTCAAGGTGAACGTTTGATCCAAAAATATACTCCAAAATTCCATGTTCTCGCAATTTTTCATTTAGTCTCCTACAATTAAATTTTAAAATTTTTGGATATTTGAATAGATCAACGAAAACATTAAGACACTTAAGTTATATCTTAATACCGAAGAATTTTATCTGACGGGCTTTCTTCATCCATTTGTACAGTGTCATCCTCGCCATCAATACTTAAGCTTCTTTTCCGAGTGTTACCTCTACGCCTACTCTTTTTGAGAATTTTTGCATGTCTAAGACCAAGAAGAAGGGCCTCTTTAATTTCGTTCAGCCCTGTTAATCGCAGGTCAAGCCTCGAAGTTTTCAATAGCCGATTAGCGATATCAATTTTCAATATTGAACTTCTGATAACTTGTTGTTCATCAGGAACTTCCTGGAACAACAGATAATCATTGTCCTCATCATCTTCCTCACCCGATGATATCATCTGTTGATAATTCTTTTCGACTTCCCGGATGACTCCAGTAACAGAGGACGGTAAATTCAAAATCATAGAGGTAACCATGTGTACAATATTAGGAATTAGCTTCTTTTCTTGTCGAATAAGCCATTCTTCAGGAATGTTTACAATCTGATCTTGAACGCATTGAGAAACCTTCATGACAAATTGCCTAAAATCCACGTTATTAGGAACGTAATGTCCGATCTATAACATTTAAATTTTGAATAAACTTCGCAAAAGCATTACAATTAATGTAAACATTCATATTATTTACAAACCTTGTGAATCATTCTGACTAAACCGTTAACATCTTTCAAATCGAGGGTACTATAGGAATACGAGATGCTTCTTCGCTGACGTACTTCTTCATCATAACCAAGAGCTCGGGTAATGGCGCCTAAACCATCTCGGTTGATAAACGTTTGGATGGCTTCAAATTGGTACTGCGATATACGAGGTTCCAACTTTTGATGTGTGCAAACAAGTGCCAGGCATACATGAAAGGCTTTGTCAGCACATGATAGTAATGAGAAACCACCCATACATTTATAAAATCGTCATATGTTTCTTCTAAACCTGTTCCATAGTTATAATATCACTTGAATTATCATCATATTCGACTATCTACAATTATTTAAAACGTTATCAGTAATAGTACTAATATTAAAGTATTTAGCAGTGAATTTATTAATAAATTTACAAACCTCTTCGACGTCACCGGCCATTCCCATCGCAGCGGGGTTAACGCCCACGTCTAGGCGTCTAGAATCAAACCGACCATCAAATCGACGATAAAACGACGCGGTATCGTCGCCCAATATACGAGCCACAGCGTCTTGCATTAGTTCAGAGAGTGGAAATTCTTCACTGCCCACATTCATGGCTTCGGGATCATCCATAAGGCGGATAGCGATTTCAAGAACCTTTATGAAAAATTGATAAATAGTGCTAGCGATCATAGATGCTTGCGAAGATGTCACTGCTGGATACCTTTATAAGTGCAAATATTGTAAAGTGAATCTCGTTTAACAGATATCCTTAAGAAATTATTATAATCAAGCAAATAAATATACCCTCTATTTAAAAGTACTATTGCATATTTAGGTAGCCACTCTTTGTTAAATAAATCAATAATTTGTTGGTGGCCTTCGGCAGTTGATCGATTCAAAAGGATGTGATTTGCGAGTTCAATAAGCCGATTGACTGTTTTATAAGGATTGGACGCTAATTTTAAATAATAATTGGGAATAAAATAGTGTATCAGAAAAAAAGAAGTATACTATATGTAAAATCAACACATAAATTCATGATTCAGACACGAAAATATATGAATTAGAGTTATCATGTACCTTCTTTTAACTCTATTACATATTCTTCGAAGTTAATTATATTCTCCTCATTTTTTGACGATCGTCTCCGTGAGCTTGTAGAGGAAGTTTGTGAGTGCCTCCTTCGTTGCCCAGGTTCACTATCATCATCAACATCATCGTCGTCAGACACATAATCCTCTTCATCCTCTGATGATGATGTAATTTGTCTATGTTCTTTACGATTATTACGACCACGATGAGATGAATGCTGTTGTCGCGGCGCTTCTGAGGTTAAGGCAACTCTCTTTTTAGGATGTTGCTCATGATCTCGACGGGAAACATGAGTGATTGGCTTTGTCACTACAACGTCTTCTTCTTCGTGTCCTTCATAATCATCAGCATCCTCTATCTCGTCATCATCATCTTCGTCATCTTCGTCATCGATCTCATCGTCTTCGTCACTGCTAGTTAAACTTTTAGAAGTAATCGGATGACCCAGCAGATCTTCCTTTGCTGACGAATTTTCTTTGTCACTGTGTACATCTGAATCAACTACTATCACATTATCCATTTCAGACTCATTGAGCTCGTCATTTTTTCCTTCAGAGCTTTGTTTATCGATATCTTCATGCAGGTCTTGATTATGAAAGTCTACCTTTTGGAAGGATTCCCGTTCTACGGGTAGCTGCTGTGACATGTCTAAAGAAGTGGACGTTTGCGTAAAATTTGAATAATAATATTATCAAATTGTTGCTGATTAATTTTTAGTAAGAAGTCTTGATCGTTTAAATTTGTCTAAGCAAATAAGCAAAACACGTGTTCGTGACGAAAGTGTTCAAAATCTGAAATGCGGAACTGTCTACAAACAAAAAAATGAGATGCTAACCTTTTTTGTGCTTTAACGTTACTGAATGGTGTGTATCCCGAAATCAAATGAATCAAATGCACGGAGCAGCCGACGATTTGAACAGGATAGAAACCGCGTTGCCTTCTTATAAACCAATTGGTGTATAATGAAAGTCACTCTCGTTCAATTAGGAGAAGGGATGATGGTAGGATGTCCGGAGGAACTATTTTATTTGAAATCAATGACTTTGTATTACGTTGTACTGATGACGTAGAATAATATTATTCACTTTGTGATCACAAGCTAAGCACAAAAAACATCTCACTCTTTCCGCTTTATCAGTTAACAATTAATATTTTCCTTTCAACAACATATTTCTTTTATTTTTTTTTCAATTCATTAATTTCTCCAATGCCTTTATATGGTGTATTTTACGTAGTTGATCAATATGGACACGTAGATTTTTAATGTTAATCCCCATCGAGTAAATGTTTTAGGTAGGGTCAACTTTGAGGAATATGTTGCTAACTCCTTATTAGGCTAAAGGACTTTATTGCATTAAGTTTGTTTTAAACGTTTCCAAACTCATTTTACAAATTTTCAGTTCTTAAAAGATTTCTGTAAACTGAGTTGTCTCCTTTATGGAGAATGGAATCCGTGTTTTACGCATTAAGGATGCGCAAAAATCACGGTACAAAAACAATATATATATGGGAATTGTCTTAGATGTGCTGGTAGGACCTTGAATAAACATATAACATTTTGAAATTTTTGCCGTTATTGATAGTAAAAGTTTATGTATTTTTCTAAAGTGGATAAGTCTTTAATATTGGGCATTTAAACAAAAAAAAAATCCGATACCTATTTTCTCCAAGTATGTAAAAGATATTAGGATTGGGTGAAAAAACTCGCGCTGGCATTATTGTCAGTCTATAGTCACCTTCTCTACAGTCACATCTACTTTAATCACAACTAGAGGTTGGAACCGGTTTTAATAATTCGTGTTTATCACATGAATTTTGTGATAATTTGGAAATTTATCCAATTAAATTTTAATAAATTCTGAAATATCACAAAATTTATGTGATAAACCCGAATTATTAAAACCGGTTCCAACCTCAATCGATATTAATAATTTTTGACCTTTTGTCATGTGATTGCTGATTTTTGACTAATACAAACTGAAATTGACTTTGCATTCTCAAAAATGGCAAAAAAAAATATACTTTTGTTTAGCGACACGTTTAACATCAATGATTGCGATAAGGATGGGAAAAAATTTGATCGCGGTATTAATTTTTTTTAACATTCTATTTTACTTGTATTCCGACAAATTATATTTACTCTTAAAATACGTTTAATAGTTTCTCGCTTTGTAGGACGCGGTGAAAGCTTAGAAATGGAACTTGTAATAGATGTCAATACTGACCTTTATCCTCTAGATATTGGTGACAGAGTAAACGTGATTCTTACCACATCATTGGCTTTAGACCCATCAAAAGCTCAGTCAGAGGACATGATTACTGGAGCGTCGTCCGCTGAAGAAATGACTCAAAAGGCATCATGGAGAGAAAAATCGTCCACGGAAAGAGATTTGTCTGACGAATTTGAATATGTCATGTATGGTAAGGTCTATAAATATGACGAAGAAAGACGAAGTAAAGTGTATCCTTCTAATTTAGTTATCAGTCTTTTTGGAAATTTGAAACTAGTGTAATTGTCTTTTTTATTTTATGATTCTCAACTTTTTAATAAATTTGTAGTGCTGTTTACATATCTTATGGTGGCTTGCTCATGTCACTTGAGGGTGATTTTCGTCACGTGCAGAATATTCATGTTGGTCAGCAAGTTTATTTGTTGATGAAACGTTTGCTATAATATTTAATAGATGTTCTAAATAAAGATGCTGTGAAATTAAATTAGTGTTTTAGTCTAAAATGTTTAAATTTTGGTAATAATTTTGAAATAAAGCTATTTTTAATTTTTAATTTTTATAAAGAAAATAATTATTCAATTATATTAAGATTAGAATGTAATTTTAGAATTTTAATTTTAGTTGAAATAAAGTTTTTGAATATTTTAATCATTTTTATTTAGTATTTTTAAAGGTTGATTTTAGTATAAATAGGTATATATTATTATACAATTATAATTATAATTAATTTTTATTTTAGATAATATTGTTTGTATTATAAAATTTTTATTACAAATAAAATAAATTTAAGATTTGGGTTAGGTTGATGTTAGGTTAAATTAAAAGATTTAAATATATGTAAAATTTGAGATTAAAATATTTAATTAAAAGTTAAAGCATGGTTTTTATAATAAAATCTTAAATTATTTAAATATTTTGGTTTGGTTATATAAGATTTGATGATTTTATACAAGTAAATAATATTATTTAAAATAAAAATAATTATTTTAAAATTGTTATTAAATTTTTATATTTATGTAAAGATTTGTTAAAATTATTTAGTAAATAATTATAATTTGATATAATGTAACATCAGTTTTACTAAAACATATTACTAGTGTTCAATACCAGTATTTTGTATAATATAAACAAATAATAATAAATAAAATAAAATTAGTTAAATATTAAATTAATGTTTGTAGTTAAAGATTAGTATAAAATGTAATATATAGTAAAATTTAACAAAAAAAATTTTTTATTAGAAGCCAAAAGGTGGTTTTTTTAGTAAAATTTTAAGCTATCATCAGGAAAAAAAATAGAGAATTATATATTAATTAGTAACTGAAAGATATATAATAATATAAATTACTTCTGTCGATTTATAACATTATAATACTAATTGATATATAATAAAAAAAATATAAATCAATATATAACTGAAGTGATTATAATCGATATATAATCTAAACAATTAGAAACATACATATTAGGTAATTTATTAACTATAATAACTTAGATTATATATTGATTATAATCGATAAATAGCTATAAGCTAATTATAACTAATATATACTGCTATATTTATAATATTAGAATCAATATATACAAATTATTATATTAAATATTACAGCAATTCACTTTTATATTTATTAACTTAAAGTAAATAAAATTTATATATTTAAATTGAATACAATTTATTTTATATATATGAAATATGAAGATATAGTAACCTAGTAAAATAAATAGATTGTTAACTCTTAAATGTCAGATTTAAGGTTCAATTCCTATAGATAACAAATTTTGAAAATTATATTTGTGTTATGATAACTGTCTCTTGCTGATTAGTCAGGTTTTGGGCATCTGTAATCTTAAATATACCAAGTTAGATCCTACTTGACATTAAGACATCTATACAAAGTATAATATTATACATATATAGAGAAATGTGAAAAACTGATATCGTATAAGGCTTCAATGCAAATCTATGATAAGACCATCAGACGTAGAAGGCTAAAAAACTAAAGAGATGAAAACCCACTTGGAAATTTTAAGTAAAAAGGTAATACAAACTTTTAATAGTATTATTAGACTAATAAAAGACTATAAAACATCTTTATAGAAACTGTTAGATAAACCAGATAACAAAATATATAGAAAAGCACATGACCAACTAGAGCAAAAAAATCAGCAGAGGAAAAAAAATATATAAGTATACTATATAAGACTATCTGAATTGGAAGTCTAAAGAGTCAGTTAGTTTTAAGTTATAACTAGTAAGGAATAACAAAGAAGAAGTTAGAAAGATAGATATTAAGATTTAAGTAAACTTTATAAAAATAATAGTAGTTTAATAGGTAACTTTAATTGCAAGTATTAGTTTCAGTCATAATATCAAATTAGATTAGCAATAAAAGAGAATACAACTCACTTTAATAGGTTTGTCTTGAGAATAAAAATATTCTAAAAATTATAGTCTTATAGTTAAATATAAATAGATCTGGGTTTGTGATCTAATAAAATTAATACTAGGGTCAGATTAGAGAGTTTAAATAGAACATCTAAGCAGAGGTGTTAGATACAGCAACTGATAGAGAACCTCTAAGCAGACTTCTTAAATAGGTAATATAAAAAAGTTACATATATAGCCAATTGTATACTTGTCTAATAGTTCATTATAAATTTATCTATATAAAACATGTACCAGATATAAGTATTAATAAAAAGCTAGAACCAAAAAGATCACCTTAATACTAAAAAAAAAAAAATACATATAAAATACATTTTGCATGCAATATATAAAAAATTACAAAAAAAAACAATATTACTAATAGATTCTAAATAATATTTTTTTTTTTTGGTATTAAGATGAGGCCTTGCTTATATCTTTATTAATAATTTAAAATAGTTACATGTATATATGC